TCTGTTTTATTTTTTTTATATCAATTCATATTTTAAATCTGTTTTTGTTAACAAAGATCTTTTTTTTCCAATGCCGGAATTTAGGAATCAAACCACCAGTTTAAATTCGTAGGTCCCGGTTTATTTAGATAAAGTAATCCTAAGTCTAACCAAACTTGACCAATATAAAGCTTCAGGTTTAGACTGTGTGCACCCATGGGTTCTGAAAGAATGTGTCAGTACAATAGCATACCATATGAGAAAAATATTTTAAACTTCACTCCAACAAGGTTCTACCCCCAATGCTTAGAAAATTTCTAATGTTATGCCCTTGCACAAAACTGGAAGTCAATTAAATCCGGCTAACTACCATCCAGCTTTGCTCACGTCTGTACCATGCAAAGTCTTGGAATGAATCATCCGAGACACAATTTTAAATCATTTATACCTAAGTGGTCTTATTGCAGAACAACAACACGGATTTGTTATAAATAAATCCTGTCTTAACAGCCTTTTGGAGTCATCCTTGTCATATAAGCAAAGTGTTGATATAATTTTTGTTGACTTTGCCGAGGCTTTTGACACTGCAGCATCAACGTCTTATGCACAAACTAAAAGCATTTAGGATCTCTAGAAAACTATGTTGCTAGATTGGTGACTTTATTACTAATTAAAAGTAGAGAGTTGATCTTGGTTAGTGCAAGTCCAGCTGGGCAGACATAATTAGTAGTGTACCACAGGGCAGCGTCTTGGGTCCACTTTTTATATAAATGATTTACCGTCAATTATTAATTACTTTCTTTGTAAGTTATATGCAAATTACTGCAAAATTATTGCACCAATTACAGATGCTTTAGATTCAGACAAGCTACAGCTTGATTTAAATGCTATTACTGAACGGTCTGAAAAATAATACATAAAGCTGAACTACAATAAATGCAAAGTGATGCATATGGGTAAAACAAACCCCCAAAATAATTACTATATGTTTAATGCTGCAACTTTAACTACCGTAAACATTTTGAAATCTGAAAAGGAGTACAATCTGGCATTACGATTACATCGAATGGCAAGTGGGATGCTCACTCTTTCGAAATTGCATCAAAAGCTAATAACATCTTAGGATGGATGAAAGTTTAATTCATCAGCAGAGACGAAAAACTATGGAAGTATTTATACACAGTTTATATCTGACCGCATTTAGAATTTGCAACTCTATCAGTTAATAATTATTCAAAATTAGCATTAAAACGCATTAAACATATTCAAAGAGTTACAAAAGTACCTCACAGTCTAACTGAATACAGTCGTTTTGACTGTATTCAACATTAAAAATAAAATTGACAGTTAACTGGCATGTTGAACCATTGACAGCAAAACCTAATTACGGTCATCGTAAACGCTTACGCCAAAAAATAACAAATAATTGTGAAATACATCATAATTTTTTTACTAATAGAGTAGCAAATCCTTGAAACAATCACCCAAATATTGTCGTTCTACAAACTTCGGCAAATCTTTTTAGAACCCATTTGATTAAGTTTTTAAATTAAAAAAAAAACTTAATCATTAAATAAAATGTACAATCTAATTACCTGCTTACACTGCGAATAGCAGGGCTTGTATTCATGCTCTGCTCAAGGAGTTATCTCCTTGCAGTAAATAATACTAATACTACTGCTACTACTATGTTTATATCTAATAATGTGTTATAATGATTTTTATTTAAGCTCATGCGCATATCTTGCGCATCATCTTGCTACACTGTTAAAAAAATAGCGAGTTTTTTACAGAAAAGTTTCGGCAGCTGCCGATGACCAAACTACCCGTTATTTTACGGAAAAACCAGGGCTTTTTTAATAGAAGGCCTCGACATCGTGCGTGAATTTTCTTGACTGAAGGCAGGTTTTAAAAAAACTGTTTAAAGTTGTAAAAGCTGTAGCTGTTTTCAAAGAAATTTAAGATAAATAATTTATGATGCCTTTAAAATGCTGCGTACCAAATTGTTACTCAAATTATAAGTCTTCAGATTGTAAAATATCTGTATACAAATTTCCTCGTGAAGTATCTGAAAAATACAAGTGGTTTATGAGTATTCCTCGCTCACACTGGACTTAAACAAAGTATAGCATTGTTTGTAAATTGCATTGGCCAGAAGATGCTGAGTTTACTTTATATCGTGGTAAATTGAGAATTAATACTCCAATCAGTGTTTCCAAATATCTCTAAAAATTGTCTATCCTCCTAAAAAAAAACTTTATCTTCTTTTTCAAAAAAAGGTATCAAAAAAGATGAATTGGAAGAGTATAAAATAATTGATTATTTAAAGTTTAAAGATATTGAAAAACACTTATCTACTGAAACTGATATAATTACTTACAAGCAAAGCAATTCTATTTTTTACAGTCTAAAGTTTTTAATTGTGGAGTTCCACTATTTTTGCTGATAATTAATCAATGTTTAATGTTTGAAGCATTTCATTATGGTTCAAAAATAGAAAAACAGAATAACTTCATTTAATACAAAGTCAGCTTTAAATGAAGCTCTTGGATATCTAAAAGTTAAAGATGAGGATCATAAAACCCAAATATTATTTCAGCTTTTAAATGTAATGGGAGATCATTCTGTTGGCTTAACTATATATTCACCTGATATAATAACCAGGTCTTTTGAATATTTTGCAACAAGTCGTTACACTTACAATCAATTGTGTTGTGATTATCAGTTGCCAAGTATTCGAACTTTAAATTGTATAACTTCAAAAATAAATTCTCAAGACAATTTGTATTTAAGTTTTGTGTTATCTAACCATGAGGGAAAAAAAATAAATTGTGTTTTATTGATAAATGAATTTTGTATAAAAGCTGCTTTATTATATCAAAGTGGAAATATTTTTGGAAAAGCTTTTAATTATCCAGAGAAATTAGCTACTACTGTACTTTTATTTATGATCAAAAGTTTTTATGGTGGTCCTGAATTTTTAGCAAGAGTTTTACCAGTTACTAATCTAACATCAGAAATCCAACTAGACCAATGCCAGTTAATTGTAGACACCATAGAAATTTCTATATGTAATGGTAAAGTAGTTGCAATTATTACTGATGGTAATAAAGTTGACCAAAGCTTTTTTTCTAAATTTAAAGCAGTAGATGAAAAGCCTTGTTTATGTCAAAATGGAACTTATATTTTATATGACTATGTCCATCTTTTAAAGTGCATTAGAAATAATTGGCTGACAGAAAAATTAGATCAGTTGCAGGTTTATCTATAATGAAATATCTTACATTGCAAATTGGAGAGATTTAGTTAACTTATATACACTTGAAAAAAAACAATTATTAAAGTTATCTAAGTTGACTGAAACATCAATAAATCCTAAGCCAATAGAACGACAAAAAGTGAGTACTTGTTTGCAAGTATTCAGTGAAGAGACAGTTGCTCTAAAAACTCATCCTAAAATAGACCAAGAAAGTGTCAAGGGTACTATTAATTTTTTGGAGTTGATTATAAATTTTGGGAAATAGTGAATGTTAAATGTCCTGGTGCTAATCTTAAATTCAGGGATGAGTCCTGTAATGTAATCAGATCTTCAAATGACGTTATCTTAAAAAATTGCTTGCTATTGCAACAATGGCTGAAAATATGAAACCAACATCTGGTAAACGAGTTCGCCAGCTAACGAAAGATACAAGCAATGCACTTTCACATACCTGTCGTGGCCTAATTGATTTATGTTGCCATTTTTTATCAATTGGAAATGAATATGTAATTTTAGGTTGGTTTTTTTCAGATCTGATTGAAAAATGCTTTGGAAAATTACGTCAAGGATCAGGTGGTACTTATTTTATAACCGCTAAATCAGTTATTAAAATAGTACGTATTGAGCATGCTAAGCTGGTGCTGCAGCTAGATATTGACGTAGAAGGAAATGATGGCCATGACTGTCTTTTATGTCTTGTAGATTTAGATGATAGGGAAATTGATTTTGTTTACAATGTAGCAGATCTAGAAAATAGTTAATTATAGAAATTTTATATTCTATTGTCTATATTGTTGGTTATGTTTAAAAGTATTCCCCTGAAGAAATTGGAGATGATACAATTACATATTATGAAAAATATGGAAATTATTTAAAAACTTTAAATAGGGGAGGACTAAGTATTTCATCTGACACTTTATCTCAATGGTCCTAATTTTGCTATATAATTTTTTCTTGATTAGATAAAAGAGTTTGCAGAACATTTCTGATTCGACAGTTGACATTTATTGCAGAATTCTATGAATTTTCTATTCCAAAGAAACAATGCCAAATACTGGCAAACATTTTTTTAAAGAACTTTGCATTACTTCACACTCCTTAAAGTATTAAAAAAACTAAACTCAAAGAAATTAAGTTTATGTAAACTTTCCTATTTAGTACAAATTTTTTTTTTTTAAATATGCCGGAACTTTTCCGTAAATAAACGGATACTTACGTTTAAATTAAACAAGCTTTTCCTGTTAAACAACAGAAAAGGTTGCTGTAACTCAGTTTACAACAACTTAGTGTCAGTATATAAAAGTAATGTTGCAGTATATATTCCGTAGAAATGAAAATTCAAACAAATTATTTTTACCAAATGTTATATATATAAAATCGATTGTACGTTTTTGAAAAGGTTTTCTGAAAACAAATTTTCTTTGATTTACATAAAAAATATTTTTCCGTGATTTATTTCACTTCAACAGCAAATACAAGAATAAATAAAAAATTAGTAAATACTTTTTAAAAAATTTACAATTTTGTTAAAGTATATACAAGCACATAATAATATAATTATATTACATATCCCTATATGCATTTACAATATAGATAAACTAAAAAAAATCTTTTAATAATATATATTGTTTAAATAATAAATATAAGTATAAGTAAATCAATCCAAATATACAAAAATAGTCTTTCCTTTCTTTTCCATTTCGAGTTAACTCTAAATTTAAAATAAAAACAAAAAAACAAAAATTTTTTGAGTAAGGAAAGATTTTAATATTTAACAAAGTAATAAATTATAAAAAACACTCATTATGTGCGATGGTTATCTTAAATTTGTTACTCAATATAAGTGGTTTAACTAAGGCTAAGCAACAAACAACTCTGGATAAAGTTAAAAATTCTTTTGAGCAGTAAATAAATACCTACAAGAAATAATTTTAAAAAGATTTGAATGATACAAATAGAAGTTTTAAAGTGCAATGTATCTAATCTTAGTTTGTCATTGTAATGGTGATAACCGAATTTTCTGTTTATGCAATTGTTGGCGCCATATGCCATTACTCCCAAATTTAAAATTATATATATATATTTTTTTATTATTATTAAATAAATAAAAATCCTTCTTTAAAATCAAATTTCAAGAATTAATTACTAAATTTACTTACAAAATAACTAACTTTTACACCTAACTCTTACACCTTTGAGTGCTTTCTTATCTAAATATAAACAAATGTGAACACAAAAGTGATATAAATATTTTTAATAGACATTAATATATATACAATCATGTGACATTGAAATGGAAACATCTTTAAAAAGCAATAATTTTTTTATTCTTAATTTTTTTTTCTTAAATGTTCAATTTGATGATCTTTGTTATCATAGATAAGTCTACAAAGTTTAGACCTGGACATCAATGCCTAACTTATAAGCTCTTGAAAGGTGTTCCTTTGTATATCTTTTATATTATTAAATAAACCCTGTAACCCATACCATGATGGATTTTGGAAAGTTTTTTTTTATATTAGGGTACTCTCAGTGCTTTTTGATATCTATTTATGTAAATATGTTTAGATTTTTAATCACAATCAGTGAAGTAGAGTAGTTTTTCATCAGTTGTAATTTTTGTCCAGTTTTTCTTAATCGTTTTAAAAGTTTTTTTTTATCTGTAAAGTTTTTTTGATCTTGTAAACCTTCTCTCGATTGCTCAAGGTGATAATGCATGTACACATACTTTTAAAACTTTTTTGAAATTAAATATTTTATCAATATAACATTTATTTGACTTTTTGATATCTTAAACTTTCTAGATAACTGATAGTTTGTCTTTTTTAAATAAGTTTTTCATCTGAAAAATTTGACATAAATTTAGCTTTAATGGTCGATGTCAAACTTCAGCTTTTTTGCCATTTAAATCATCTTTTCTTTCAACTCTTGTTACGTTATTTTTAATTCTACTAATGGTGGTTGTTAAAACTTTGATTCCTTTTCTAATAATTTCTTAATCATTCTATACGAATATCGAAGTTGTACCAACAATAAAATATGTCCTTTGATATTTTTTTTTTTTGTCAAAATGTTTTGTTTACATAAATCTTCTTTTCCACTAACTAAATATGTGATTAAATTATAAAAATAATATCAATAAATACTGCATAATTAAAAAGTTTCAAAATTATTTCCATTTCAATGTCACATGACTATGAAAACATATATATGACTATAGACATATATATGACTAAAGACAGCTAACATCATCAAAACATATCTATAATTAAAAAAATTAGTTTACCTTTAAGAGAATCTTCATCATTGTCATTGAAACAATCACAAAAAAAAAACAAGTTTTCATTTCATGTTTAAACTAAAATATAATAAAATCGACTCATGTAAAGATGAAATATTAACAAATAATGTAAAAAATTAGATGTAAGAAATACCATAAAACTGACCAAAGCAGAGAATCTAATTTTATCTAAATATAATTTTCAAAAATATATATTTACATTGCACTTAAATAAGTAAAAAAGCATTAAATGTGCAAATAATCATTTAATTGTAAATATATTCAGAAGAAAAATTTTCAATAAGTATACAAATAGTAATAATAAAAAAAAAAATTTAAACACCATTTAAGTATACATTTAACATTACAATGTTAAATACATTAAGTATACAATAATATATATATATATATATATATATATATATATATATATATATATATATATATATATATATATATATATATATATATATATATATATATATAAATTTAATGAAAAAAAGTTATAAAATTTACCAGAATTCGAATTTGAGAAACAATAAAAGTACTTATTATAAGTAAACACGTCTTTATTAGAATCTAAAATGTTTACACTTTTTAGACGTCTAAATTCAGATAATTATTAGACATCTAATAGCAGTCATCTTTGAGACAGCAAATATGAGCTCTAATTTCTGTAGTCGTTTTTTAAGATCTATTTTAAAACGGTTTTGAGACGGCAAGTATGCAACCGTTTTTCAAAAGGCATTAAGATGCTTATTACGTATTTCGAGAAAAACGCGATTAAAAAAAAAAATTATTAGGAGAAACTCTTTGTAAAACGTTTTTTGAAACGAATAATTTTTATTCTATATTATTTTTTTTGAAACGAATATTTTTTACAAAGAGTTTCTCCTAATAATGTTTTTTTTAACTGCGTTTTTCTCGAAATACGTAATAAGCATCTTAAAGCCTTTTGAAAAACAATTGCATATTTTTGTCTCATAAATGGTTACTATTAGACGTTTTATAGTTATCTGATTTTATATGTCTAAAAGGTGTTAACGTTTTAGATTCTAAAAAAGACTTCTAAAAAACGTGTTTGTGTCGGTGGGTTTAAAGCATGATACTCAGTTAAGGTTCTTCTTTGCCTAACTATCATCTTTTTAATCATCTAAAACCCTAATCATCTTAAACAATTATTATTTGCTAGTTTTTTAAAGTAATGTGTTTTTTTTTTTAGATGAACAACAAGCTGGTTGCTAAAATAAATTTGCTTACGAAAATTGCAAAGATTATTTTATTTGTTATTGTGCTTTTTTTCTGTATTTTAAAAGTAAATAAATTTTTTATTCATATTAAATATTTGATTTACTCAATAACGATTTACTCAACTTGGAGTCTAGTCTTATAAATTGTTTTTTTATTGTTGTTGTAACCCTTTTTCTATATATAAACTCCGAAAAACAAGCCTGCTGTAAAAATCAACTTCGGAGTTTCTCGATTGTAAAGCGAGCGCTCTACCGCTACAGCATTACATGCTTCAATCAAAGAATTGCATAATTTTTCATTTATCATTAAAAGTATAAGTTAGTGACAAACATTTAATGAAATTTCAGACTTGGTTCAAATTTTGCGTTGCACTCCATTTAGTTTCATTAAAGATCGATTAGTTTCTGTCTACAAATTACGTGTTAGGATTAAAATATATATTAGATATATAATGAAATATACAAAGTTCTTGTTAAATACCAATAAAAAATAGTTTTGAAGTTTTAAGTATTATTAGTATTAATAAAACAAATTGTTTTTGAAGTTAGAATCATCAGCTGTTAGGTGTTAGCCATTTGCTGACATTTACTTCTTGAAGCTAGTAAAAAATTCTGTATGATACGGCATAACTAAAAGTTTTTTAAAATAACTTTTCATCACATTAATTCTGTGATTTATTATAGCTTTGTGGTTTTTTCAATAGACATTGAATGAAAATCCAATGGAGAGTTTTGAAATTTCTGCAAATTGAGTCCATGTTTCTTGAATACAATTGGAGGTATTATATACCAGTAATAATTATTCCCAATAAATTTGAAGTTTCGTTGTAGAACAATTTAAATTTCACATTTCATTCGCCTATTTCGAAACCCAAACAAACTGTCTTTAGGACAATCCTCAAATTTTTTATTACTTCAAATTCAGTTCTAGTTTTATAAAAAAGCATTTCAGTATCTTTAAGGCCCTTCTTAAAGTAGTTCCATCCAGGTTTAAGGCCCTTCTTCAGGTAGTTCCATCCAGATTTAGAAATAAAATAAAACAAGTAGGTTAAAATTTTTTATGCATCTGACTTAGATGGTCTTTTTCCTGTTTTGCATAGAGATCTTGTGTTCGCTTTGCCTAGTTTGATAAACCTTTACATCATTTTTGTAGCCTAAATATCATTTGTACTCAAATATTTTTATTCAGCAATGGCGAGTCGACAGACCATATAGAGTATTAATTTCTTGCATAAATTTTCAGTTTGCAATAAGAAAAATTTGAAATAAAAAAAAATAAAAACAGTTAATAAATTTGTTATGTGGTCACCGGGGCAAGATGACTTATGCGATTTCTGACTCCAATTTTATAAAAATTTAAAAACTACTAATTTCTCTAACTAAAGTACCACAAAATAAACAAAAAAATTTTCGTGGAGAATATCACCTGAAAGATTTTCATATAACAAGTCTTTTTTTTGTAGACTTTTTATATGAAAAGCCATCTTGCCCCATTCGCCAACTTGTCTTTTTTTTTCTCCTATATACAATGATATATTTTATAAACTAGATGTCTAACTTGCGTGATTTTATTGGACAAAAGATAAAGCCGCTTTTTTTTTGTTTATCATTTAGTCCATCCTTTTTTTTGTTTATCATTTAGTCCATCATTTTCAGCAAAAGCTGAAACCGAAGTGTGGAATAAAAGTTAAAAATACAAGTCAAAAGCTCCCAATAAATTAAAGATAATTCAAAAACTAGTTTTAATAAAAATAACATTTTTTTTATCAGCCTATATTTGTTAAAAAGTATTTTAATTCAAAAAAATGCTTGAAAAGCGTCTGTCTTTTATATTCAAAACTTTTATCTCTTTTTAATCGAAAATAAATTAAGCAATCATAAATTATTATTTTATATGTATTCTAATTTCTGCTCACCACTTTTACATAAAAAGTATTTTAATTTAAAATTTATTCACTTCATTTAAGTAAAGAAAAGTTAAAAATATTTGTTTACAAATTTAATCCGCCAATTGTAAAAAAGGCAAAAAATGGCTTCACTTTTCGGATCGAAGAGACCTAGTTTATATATTATTTCATTGCTTATATATTCTAATTTTTAAAATCCAGTTTACACATTTTTTTTGTTGAAGTTTTGAGGTATAGTTTTTTTTAATAGCAAGTAAAATATTATAAACTTATCTATTAGATTATAAAAGTAATATACGTAAAGAGTATTCAAATGTAAAGTGCATCGAAAATGGTGCGAAAAACGTGGCGCACTATGGGTTATTTTTTTGAGGGCAGAAAAGATAATACAATGACTCAAATTGAAGAATACATTAGGAGAATATTAATTGAGTCAATTTACAACAGCTGCAATATCAGGCAAATATATTGTGGCTCAAATGATTGCATATTTGAATCATAGAAATGTTGAAACGAGTAGCATAAAAGCTGTATATTGGGATGGGACAGCTACTCGAGGAGGAATCATTTTATTACTTGAAGTGACGTTACATAGACTGCTGCAATTGTCTGTATGTCAGCATAGAACCGAGTAATGGTCCAAAAAGATTTTTTTATACCATTGGAAATTCACTGTTTAGTTATAAGAAGCTTTCTATTGTGGACTACTTACCAATAAATTGTGTTCTACCGCCAAGTATAAACTCCTACAAATTATGTACAGATCAAATATAATTTTAAAACTTGTGTACTCCTGTAAGTAATGGCGTTTGTCCTGTTGACCATTCACTTTGCAATCCTGTTTATATCAACCATTCAAGGTGGTAAAAAACGGCTAATTACATACTACGACTGTATGCTGTTACAAAATACCCTTCGGATAAACTAAAGATGCTTGTTACCTTAATCGTAACAGCGATATGAAGGACTATTCTTTATTTTAAACCATAGTTTGAAATAAAGTATACTTCTTCATATAAATGTTAAAATGAAGGTAACAGTATACTTAAATATACTGAAATAAAACATAGACTGAGGTAAACTATTGGCCCTGTAATTCAGCGCGACAAGTTCTTCAGTTATCCAGAAAACCTGTTGCTAACGATGCTAACCGATTAAAAATCAGATATACGCAAGTTAGCTCTGCGACGCGTACTGAAATTCAGAAGCAGAAACGTACAAGTTCAGAAAAAGTTTATATAGTTTATATAAATGTACACCACACATATTGACAATGCCTAAAAAAAAGTTATGAATGTTAAAGAAAAAAAAAAGTCAGATTTTTCTTTGCGCCAGTTATTATCTTTGAGGCTACTAGCTGCATAGGCATGATCAATTGGAAAAAAATTCCGATCACAAGGAGTACCATCATTATGGATATTGATGGCGATACTTTGTTAACTATAATCCAGGAAGGAGATCCCAGACAGCAAGCTTACATTGGCCCAATGTAAGTTTTAACATTGGCAAGTTTATTCCGTTGGGCCAACATTTAGCCAATGTTTTTTTTCGGCGTATTATTTTCAATTTTGCAAGTCGGTTTTTTGCAAATATCGTACAATATTGGGCCAACATTTAGCCAATGTTTTTTTTCGGCAATTCTACAAATCGGTTTTTTGCAATTATCGTACTACGTTGGGCCAATATTTGGCCAATGTAGTTTAGGCTTTATATTTTGCTTATACCGTAGGCATATTTTGAAACCCTACACAGGCTCAGAATAGGCAGAAATATGAGCAATCTGATTCGCTGATTTTGAAAGAGAGGCAAATGCGCTTTATTTAAAAATAAATTTTAATTCTAAACAGATCTTGAAATAAATTTGATAGTAATGGTGAACTAAGTTTATCGATACAAGTCTTGTGTTACTATCAACATCTATTTGTAACAAAATCTATTTGTAACAGAGAATTTTCACTCGTAAAAATCTCAAAGTTTCAATAAAGTTCATCTTGGTGATGGAGGTTTTATCTGTTGTTAATTTAAAGAAATAGAAAAAAGTGTAATTCGAAAAGATCTTGTGCTGATTCTTATAATTATTATTATCCTTGTTGAGTTTAGTTATGTTTATACTAAAACTAACCTGTTTATATATTTTAGTTTACATATTATTATATGAAGAATAAAGCCTTCTATGTTGGCTTAGAATTAATTATAGACTATTTAATTTACTACACTACAGGGCGGACTTGTAAACGACGCACCCCTATGAAAAACTAATAATCATGACTAAAACTGTCCCAATTTTTACGGTCAATTAATGAATGTATATTTCGTTGAGTTAATCCCTAATGGTTAGTCAAAGCATTTACATTTACTTCTATTTATCAATTATAATAAATTGATGTAATTACTCTTTAATTAATTTAATTAATTAATTTTACTAGGTCAGTAAAGTATCATTTTCAATAAAACGGGTTTTAAACTTAGGGGGGTGCGCTGTTTACAAGTCCGCCCACTACAGATCTATAAATTTATTTCTCACAAAATATGTTCTTGGCCTTAAAGCATACTCAAATACAAAGTTTATATACAGTTGTACAAGACTACTTGTGAAGTACTTTTGCATATGAAGATTATATGCAGTTTTACCAGACTGCTGATGAAGAACTTTATTTATAAATTGATTTATATGTTAATTATAAAGAGTTGAACATTAAAGTTTTTAAATAAAGAAAATTTGTACTGATTGCAAAACTAGTTCACATGTTCCATGTCAATATATGAGTTTTGAGGAAATTTTGTTTTCATGTTTTGTTTCAACTATTGTTTGGAGGAGACTGATTTACTTTTTATTGCATAACTCTAATAAAACATCATCTTAAACCATTAAACACTTTTTAAAAAATTAAAAAAAATTTTGGTAGGCAATATTAACTGTATGTATAAAATATTATTTGAAAGTTTAACAACAGAAGTGAAATTTATATGTTTGTCTGCTGAACAGTAATTTTTTGTGAAGTTACATATAAACAATAAAATTCAAAGCAAGAAAAAGTATAAAAGTCAAATATATATATATATTTTAAATATCTTCGCTTCCAACAAGGCTGCAAGCAACCACTAATTAGTGTTGGAAGTTACTGGAAGAGAAAAAATGAAGATTGTAGAGCAAGATAACGATTGACAGACGACTTTTGAACTGATGTTTGAGGAAAAAAACTAGACGAATAAGAGTTTTTGGAGCACTTAGGAACA